GCATGTAATGCATGGATGTACAAAAAAATAGTTATATGCACAATGTATGCATGTGCATACAACGTATACATGTACATAATTACAAGTAATGTACAAATACGTGCGTACATTTAAATATATGTAATTACAATATACACATACATTGTGCATACATTAAAAAAATTTATATGAGTAAAGTTATTAAAATTTGTTTTAAAATTATTCTAAGGTATATGAAACTCGACCTCATATTTTTTAGAAAGCAAACGATAATTTTATTTGGAATTTCTAAATATTAATTCCACACATAAAATTTACCGTTTTTCTTACCATTTAAAAAATTTCTATGAATCATGCATTATGTTATAAAAAAAATAAATCTGTATTGTCAAACATTTCATGAAAATACCTGAAAATAATTTTTTATTCAGAGAATTTCAAAATGATATAGAACAATTAAAGCTGAAAACTAAATTTAAATATCGTTTGATTTTGTCATTTAACTTGCTTGAGTCATTAAAAGTTAACTTACATGCATTTTATTTATTGCATTGTACACATATTTAGACATAAATGTAATGTACATATGTATACGTGTAATGTATGTACGCATGTACAATGTATGTACATACATTCATGTATTGTACGTGCATATATAGTACATATGGATATGCATACATGGAACATACGTGTATTGTACATGTGTGGATACATTCATTGTACATATATACATTGCACCATATGCATAGATAGGGATAGCATGCATGTACACATGTAAAATTTGTACGAAAGAATTATGCCCAATATATTTATGCACATACGTACTGTATATGTACACACATATGTACATTATATGAACATTATATGTTCATTTCATCATATGTACATTATATGAATATACATCTGTACGCTATATGTATATACATCTGTACGCTATATGTATATACATCTGTACAATATATGCATCTCAAATGTGTGTATGTACGTACGTTATGCATGTCGAATGCATGTATGAATATATGTGAAATATAAATACGCCCAATGTACGTACAATAGTTCACAAATGTATTATGCATATTTGGATACTTACATTGAGCATGAACATATTATGTACATGTACATAAATACACTGGACATGCATATCATGTACATGTATACATACATATATTGTACATCCTACAGATATACCTATATTGTACATGCATACATATATTGTACTGTTCATAAATAAATTGCACATACATGCATGGGACATACATTGTACAGACAATGTATGTATGTTCGTACAAACACAAGTACTTGTATATACATGCGTACATGAACATAGATATACATTTTACATACACAAATATTTGCATAAAATGCATATATTCATTGTGTATAAATGTACATGTCTACATTGTTTGCACATACATACGTAATTATTATCTATATACATACGTACATATATTTTATACCTACAATATAAGTGTATGTACATGTGTGTGATACTAAAATGTCTGAACATATGCACTAGATAAAATCATATGTACATACATTTCAGTTACATTCATTTGTACGTATACAAATACGTACAAAATGCAGTACATGTTAATACGTGCAAAATGTATCATTATAAAATACATTCTACTATCTACTGTAAAATATAATCATTTATAAGAATACAATAGTCTTGTAATCGTGTAATTAGATTACATGTAATCATAATTACATGTAATCAAATTACATGTAATCAAATTACATGTAATCATATTTTTTGATTACTTGTAATCATAATTACTTGTAATCGTTTTTGTTGTGATTACTTGTAATCGCAATTACTTGTAATCATGATTACAAGTAATTGATTACTGTAATCAATATTGTAATCATGATTACAGCTGTAATCAAAATATTTGAAAATTGTAATCATGATTACAAGTAATTGATTACTGTAATCAAAAAATGTAATCGATTACATTTTTGGCCAACTCTGGTGGATACCCTACAGAGGCTATAAAAAATTGAGGAAATGGAATGGATTTTTTTCGAGGACACCTGGAAAAATATATTTTTGTCATTGCTTTTGAAGAAGAGCAAAATTCTTTTTCTCTGCGCTTTCACTCATTTTATTTTCAATACAGCATGAAGATATTACGAATAATGAATCATAGACTGGAACGAAGGCATCCAAACACAATTTGACCATCAAAACCAGATTAACTACCATCGGATGACTTAATAAGGTATCAACGTTTCCTAATGAGATCGAAGATTTAATCAATTTAGATTTAAATTTTTCTCAAAACGCAGTTGTTAAAATTATATTGCCGTAAGAAAGTCTTCCTGAGTGTTCAAAAATAGTCTCTTTAATTACAAATCATTGACAAATGTCAATCAATCCTCCACTCGTCTGCGTTTAGTATTATTCGCTTAATTGAGAAAAGACTTATGATTTCTGGTTTTAGGAATTGTGATTCAATTTTTCACTGGACATCTTCGAAAGAAAGATCCTCAGAGTCATCTTTGGCGAAATTGTTGTTGGGGATGTTGGAGGACCAGGAATAACTTCGAGCTCTACCGACTCTGTAAGCGTCACCCAAATTACACAAATAATTCGCAGTGATAGGCTGAGAGGGCTGGACCATCCACGCAGATGCCTTGAAAATAGCGTCATGAGAATCGTCACCTTTAAGAACACCGAGGGGTCGCATCCTAGAGGCACACCCCCTACTAGATGGCTCAACGACATCGAAAATGACCTGAAAACCCTAAGGATTAGAAATTGAAAGGTAGTTGCCATAGATAGGAAGCGCTGACATTTATCAGCTGTTGAGGCAGCCGAGGCCAGCAAGGGGCTGCTGTGCTGACAAAGAAAAAAAAAGAAGAAGAAGAAAAAGGGGAAGAAGAAGAAAGAGGGGAAGAATAAGAATAAGAAGATGCGTTAATTTTTGCAACTACAGCTTTTCCTGTTTTGACTGGAGCTTTTTAATTCAGATATCTTTGGTTACACTTACAGTATTTAGGGTTTTCCTTTTAAATACAAACGGAAATTTTTTTAATTCCTAAAGTGATTCTTTCTCATGTTCAGTTTATTTCAAAAATTGTTTCCTCATGTTCTAACTGGGATTCTTAATCAATCTGAGATCTATTTTTGCGTTTTCTGATTCCAAAGTTGCATTTCGTAATTCTAACTCCATGTTTTAATCTTATTTCATTTCATATTTTTCTTCTTTTCATCGATTAATTTATGAATTTAGCAATGCTCTCGCAAAATTTTCTTCATAATTAGAATTTTCAACAATCGCTGTTTTAGACTCTCAACACCTAATTCATCGTCAATAAATTGCAAGTCTTCTTTCCTTGCTTTTAGCATGGTGAGCAATTTTTTAGAATAATATGAAAAGAGTCCCACAAAGGGTTACTCACATGATTTTTCTTAGGAAATCAGTTCGTTTATTGGTACCTACTGCTCCGAAATGACGAGTATTAGAATATTCCAAATAAATACAAGTATATTAACAGCAACAATAGATTTATTAATTCTCATTTAAAGCACACGCACACACACAGATATATATATATATATATGCGTGCATAATTTTTTTATAGCTAGCATAATGAAAAGTTTTCTAAAACTGTGATTAGGTTTATTTGTTTTTAGAATTTAAAACAATAAAATGAGAAAATTGTGACACACCACACTGATTCTGACTGTTTGGAAAACACTATAAATAGTCANATATATATATATATATATAATGTACAGGGTGTCTCAGTTAAACGTTTCAGAACTCCTAAGAGAGGGTAGGGTGCATCCTGACGATTCAAAATCATATAGCAATGTGGGGACGGAAATGCTTTCCTGAAGCAGTAATGAACACAGAAGCACCATAAAGAAAAGAGATCGTAAGTGAAAAATCGTTTAAATAATATTAGAAAAAGCATAAGGTACATGGGTCAAAGTATGTGTTGGAAGTTTCTGCCACATTCTGCAATACTCCAGGCATATCTCGAATTTTTCCGGCTACTACTGCGATTCTTGCAACCAGCTCCTCAGCATTGTCAACAGGGGTGTCATAAGCCAGTGTTTTCATATGACAACAGAAATAAAAATCAAGACATGATAGGTCAGGTGACCGAGGAGGCCAACGCACTGGACAGCTCGGAACTTTCGTACATCGCCATCTACCGCGTCTGGAAAGCATATCCGACCCCCCATTGCTATATGATTACGAGTCGTTAGAATATATATATATATATATTAATACAATTAATTTATTGAATTTATTAGAAATAATTGTATTATTTTGAATTGTATTGTGCTGAATTAACTGAGCTGTATTACGTGGGTTGAAACTCAAGTGCGCAATCTTTAAATTTGCACCATGGACAGCCCGTCAATTTCGAAGAATAGTAATTGTACCGATAAGAAGCAGATTAAAGTTTAAGTTGCTGTCATGCATGCTGATCTATGTCATCTGGGACTAAATAAAAAAACTGCCATGTAAAGCCACAGTATGTTATGAGTAAGTCTGGGAATATATTTTTCCAGATTTTGAGCCCAGAGAAATAAGAAAGGCAATGGAATGGAGTTTAAAGCAAAAGTGTCGTTTCAACCATCAATGGCCAGTCTCAACCAGGCATTTCAAAATGCTCTATTTTTAAAAAAAGTGATGTTTCTTGTTTTATAAAAGAATAAAAGTAATATTTAAAAATTACCTTAAATACTGAGTTTCAATTTTTTCTGTACTGTAATCAAAGTAAATTCTAAAAAAGTGATGATAGCTTTAAAAAACATCCCATGAAAATTTAAAAATTGCACAAAGAAGCTAGATTTTAATTGGTGCCCAATCGCAAGTTTTTAAAGTACAAACGTTCTTTACAGAATAATATCGAATTTTATATATGAAGATGTATAAAACGAATTTAAGGGGCGCTTATTAATTAACAGCCAGTATCTATTTAAAAAAAATTTAAACTTCAATGCCTAAAACTAGTAGCTTCGTTTTATCTTGTGACATCACAACATAAAAACTTACTCACAATCCTCGGGATGTTTACCATGCACAACGAAGGAACAGCCACGTATTACATCATTTAAATCTTGAATATACTCTAGACGTTCATTGGGTGGAAATGTAGCTATGTCATTATATCTAGAAAGAGGTAGAGCCTATATAAAATAAATGGTTTTCAGTATTGAGTAAAATATAACCCTGGTTTTATACTTCTTCTGCAATTCTGGAAACACATCTGCGAACATTACATATATAATATATATATATATATATATATATATACATTCTTGAAATGACTTTTCTTTTGTTCGAGATGTTGCCAAGCTGTCTTTTATTTCAACGCTGAGTTGCCTCTCACAGTGGCAGAATAGTTCTAGAGAATTCTAATTTTTAAGTTCTTTACTTTTAAAATTGGATAAGTTGAAATCTATTCTATCGATTTCAGTCTAAATTTTAAATTTTGTTACTTAAAATTACAAAAATTGGAACGATGTAAAAATTTTTAAACTACATAATCCGAAAATGCTTTGACTATTATCAAATAACGTAATAAATAATTGTAAAAAATTGTTTTTAGATAGAAAACACTTCTCGAGATATAGTGAGAAACGCAAAATGTGAAATTACCATAAAGATGTCCAAAATCTCGACTGCTTTTTTGCCTAAATTATTGCAACCTTTTTTTCCAGATTGAGGTTTTGTTCAGTAATTTGAGTCCCAAGAATCAAATCCGTCGAAAAAAAGCTATGAACGTGTGTTTTTGTGAATTTCGTTGCTCAAAATATCGTCTTCTCTAATTAGTATATTTAATGTTATGTCCTTAATATGAGATGTCCCTAATATGTGAAAATAGAATATTCTTAGGGTTTTTTCTGAGGTCTGTTGTAATAGGTCAAGAGGGGAGGGCTACGGGCTTGGGCTTGTGCCTCAAATATCCTGCAAAATTTGATGAAAAAGACTGCCTGCCGAATTTAGTTCTTGAAACGTATTTTTCAGGTGTACTTGCAATTAAAAAGATCAAAATTTTTTAAAAAAAATATATCNATTTTATATATATATATATATATATATATATATATATAGGAAAAAAACTAATATAGTTCTTAGGAGAAGAAAAAATATCATATGTAAAATATTTTTAAAGACTTTTAAAAATTTAATACAAAACATTGGAAATTATTAAACAAATAGCAGAAATAGTTAAGAAAAGAAAATTGAGAAAAAGCGATTCGTTTTGGTGGATATTTTTTGAAAATTGGTTATACCCCCAAGTAACTTTTCTTGTTTTTAAGATTTAAAAAAATTCTCATCTTTAATAAAATATTTACTGCTCAAATAATGCACCACTTCTTCTGAAGTATATAAATTGCCATTTTATTATGGAAAATCGCAATAACAAATTGATGAAATGAAAGACTCGATGCCTGATAACACAGTTTGGGCAATAAATGAAAGTCGGAAGAGAAATCAACTGCAATAATTTCATGCAATCCTGCTGCAGAATTCAATCGAAAAAGGAATTTATATTTACTAACCATTTTATCTATCAAAAAGCCATTTTCGCAAATACGCTCCGGTAAGCAATTACATTCAAGTGGATGATATCGTCGATATTCTTCCCATAATATCTTGCACCAATCTGGTTTAATCTCCTCACATATTTTCGATATATTTGATCTGCAAAATTGAATGATGGAGAGAGTTTCTTAATTTCTCAATAACTTACTTAATGCATTTATTACTTAATGTATTAATGTATTATAATGCACTTACTTATTAATGTATTAGGAAAATATCATAGTTTAGATGAAAGAAAATTTCTCATTTCAATTTTAAATTGAAATTTTTTCGTCAATTTACTTCAAAAAACACACTTTGCTCGCTCTATTACTTTCCAGAAATTCTGTGTTATCGATATATTTGTTAACAAATTGTATTGCAAACAAAATATATTGCATATTGCATGGTACCATAATCAAATATGAAAATCGAAATTAGTGTTGAGGAATAATATGAAGCTCTATTTTATCTTACATAAAAATAACTGCAGAAAATATCGTAAACCTAGCTTAAATATTCATTGAAATAAGGAAATTTTTAGAAAAATTCTTTTTTTCTTACTTGCGCTTTCTTACTATAACTTCGGAAATATTCAATGAAATTAAACAAAATTTTTGCAGTAATTTATAATTAATACTAATAAACATCATTTTAAAACTTGAAAAAATTCGTTGAATTTGATAATTAATATGAAGGACTTTATGTTAAATTAAAAATGTCGAGAATTCCTCTCAATAAAAATTCCGCTCTAAGCAATTTTACTGTAAAGCTCCAGGAGTGATGAAAAACAACGAATTATATTAAAGATTAGCAAACTACAAAAAGATTTATTTTATTAATTATTTTGCGTCATCATTCGACAGACAACAATAACTTAAAAAGGAATCTCGGATGCAGACGGAGATATTTTTCTACCTCCAAAGTGCGTATATAAGTGAATATTTTTATATCGTATCGGGTTGTTCGGAAAGTAATTTCGTTTCTTGGAGGGAAAATTATAGACAATTTCCGTATAATGAATAAATATTTTATTAAATTATATATTATCCACTCTAGTTCAACACCTTTTGCCATCTCTCTGGTAGTAACATGATTCCACGCTCATAAAAGTTTTGGCCTTTGCTGGCAAAAAACTGATCCAGGAGATTTTTGACCTCTTCATTTGAAGTAAAGGTTATAGAGTCCAAAACATTTTGCAGTGACCGGAACAAATAATAATCCCTAAGGTGCCAGATCTGGAGAATATGGTGGGTGTGGCAGTGTATCCCATTCAAGCTCTGAAAGCTTTTGGCGAGTGAACAAACTTGTATGCGGTCTCGCATTATCTTGGTGGAACACTATACCTTTTCTGATGATTAATTTTGGCCTTTTCTGTTGAAGTGTATCATTCAGTTTGTTCAGCTGACGACAGTAAACTCCCGAATTAATTGTTGCGTTATCTGGTAAAAGCTCAAAAAGAAAGCTATTCCTTTAAAATCCCACCAAACAGACACTAACACCTTTTTTTGATGGATAGTTGCTTTCGAAATGCTTTGAGCCGGTTCATCTTTTTTGCTCCATGATCTCTTGCGTTTGACATTGTTGTAGACAACCCATTTTTCGTCCCCAGTAATGATGAGCTTCAAAAATGGATAATTTTCCTGAAGTTTGAGAAGCGAATCAAGACGTCAACGTGACGACACGAATTTCTCTCCGTGAGAACATGGGGAACCCATATATCGAGCTTCTAGGTTAAATTCGGGCCTTTCAAGTGGTTATAAACAGTTGAATTCGATAAATTTAAATTCCCAACAATCTCACGTGTTGTTATTCGCCGATTTTCATCAACTAATGCCTTTATCGAGTCTTTATCAGCTTCAACTGGCGTTCCAGAACGTGGTGCATCCTCGACATCAAAATTGCCGGATCGAAATTTTGCAAACCAGTTCTGTCCCTGGGTTTACTGTCAGCACATCTTCTCCATACGCATTGGTTAATTTATTTCTGGCACGAGCAGCATTTTTACCATTTTTCTACAGTAAAAAAGTAAAATATGACGAAAATACTGCTTATTGCTCTCCATATTTAAAAGGGCACCAACCACAAATCTACTGCGAAGAATTAATTGAACTTTTTCACACACAAGCCTTGCTATATCAGCTCTCAAAACATGTAACGATAATGCGGCTTAAGTGTGAAGTTGAGTTCGAAAAAATACAATTAAATCCTCTGTCGGAAAAACGAAATTACTTTCCGAACAACCCGATAGAATATCTCCGAGTCATTCCCTATTCATATCTTCTGTAGATTCAGAGGGAGCTTGCATGCGTTTTTCGAGATGATGCTTAATAACATCTTTTTATCCTCTTAATGTCTTTTATCCCATCCCCTGAATTTATCAGTTATTGGGATCCAGAGTGTTGTATAGTTGAGAAGAATTGAGGTGAATTCCCTGAAAAAAAATTTCTGAAGTATTTTTCTTCTACGCTTATCAGTGATATTGAAAGTTACAGGATAAACAAGTAAGATTTGGTAATGAAAGAGTTTGAAAATACTTACCCATCATAATTACAAATGGTGATGGAAGGTAATTCTGTCACTTTACTGTTAGTTAGTTGTATATCAACAACAGTTTCATACTTCCAAAACAGTTTCAGTAATTCAGAAGATTGATAAGTATATCCCGCTAAACAGGACAGAAATACCAATAGAAGAGCGTATTTCTTGGTTTTACTCTCAGCCATAAGAATTTGAGGAACGCCAGTCAGCATCGAATCCCGAAAAACGTTCGTCAAATATTTGGACCAAAATTTGTTTTTTCTGTTTTTGACATTCCTGAAAGGAAATGGCGTCAAAAAATATATGATTGTTAACAACAAAAAGGTTTTAAGATCAAAAAGACAGAATTATTTTTTATAGCAAAAAATAATAATAAATGCTTTGTATTGCGAGAGTATGTGCTATAAAGTGTCTGACAGTTAAATATTTTTTATGTACAATATGTATTTATGAATTCTTTCTCTTATTGACCTTAAGAATGTTTCTTAATGAACATGTAAATGTATGGGTTTAGAATCATTAAAAAAATATTATATGTACGTTAGATTGATTGAATGTAGGGTTTAAAGCACAAAATCCAAATTAGGACAGGCTGCATACGTAAGTTAGAAGATTTAAATTGATTAGTAGAGACAGAGAAAAAACAATTGTTGGTCAAAAAACGCAAGGAAAGTATTCAAAGCATCAAAAAACAATATATCGATTTCATAGTTACACCTTCAGTTTCATCATCAAATAAACTGGATTTAGATAATTGCTTTCAATAGTCTCATCAGTGGCTACTGCAAATATGAAACGATTTTGTTTTATTTCTTTAAAAATACATTATTTAGTGACTCATTATGGGTATAATTTAGCTGATTTCGTGCTTGCTAGAATGATCCGAAAGATATATAAGGTTCCCGTTGCAAAATGTCTGATAGGAAGATTGTAACTGATTTGCTGATATTTTAGCACTGTGAGTTGCATATTAGTAGCATTAGTAGCTAGTAGGAATAATCATGCGAAATAGTCTTAATAGGGATTATTCTGATATGCTGGCTGCCAATCTAAAAACTAAATTTCATCATTTGCGGAAACAATGTCTTTTTTATAATTGTTAATTTCTTAAATTTTTCTTATGCTTTAGAAAAGAGGATAATGATGATTTCTCTTTCTTTCTCTTAATAACGAATTCAAAAAATACTATTTAAGAGAAATAAAGCATAAAATGTTTGAACATGTTAATGATATCTTTTGGTGACATAACATTTAATGCTTAGTTCCACTTTTAAAATGCAATCCATTTTAACATTACATAACACATGCTTTCAAATTATGACTAACCAATAACTTTCTGTTCTTTTCCATTTAATGAATTTCTGTAACAAAGTTTTTTATTTTTTTACCGATTTTTTTCAATGTAGTACAAGTTATTGCTTAAAATATTTACCTAACACTATAATCTATCAGATTTTAATAAAAATGTTTGTAGAGAAGTCTCTAAACAATTTTGTAACTTTTGAAGACAATTTGTCAGAGGGATTGTTAAGTTTTTCGAAACACTAATCGCCATATATCCGGAATCAAGGTATTTCTGCATGCAATTTTTTAACTTGTTAATCTAAAGGTAATGTCTCGTAAAAAATATTTTTATAACTGTTCTTTGTTATTTAATTTGCCAATAGTTAAAGTTATTTAAATTGCAGGATATATAAAGTTTTTAATTTTTTTAAGGCGCGAAATTTTTGAATGACGGAATCCAAAATTTGATTGGAATGGGTTGATTAGTTCTTAATAAGTATAAATTTAAACATACGATCTTTCTAAGATAACATAACATTTTGCGTATTATATCTCCGTTGATAAAATACGCAAAACATTAAATTTTCCCCACTGATCCCTCAAATACTAACATTTCGAGGGTTCCATCTCGAATCCTTACTATTAAGTACTCAAAACTATCTTTAAACATAAAACCCCAGGAAAAGCAACCAAACTAGTTTTAAGTGTTTTTAATGATACATTTTAAGTGCGCTAGTGTTAAGTGTTAAAATTTTAAGTGCTGCTTATAGAGTATGCCTAAATTCTCAAGTACGCGACTGTATTTTTGTTCCACGCTGTCAAAGTCTGTTATTTAACTTCAAAACTGTGTTTAAAGTTTCAAAAGCAATTCTTTCGGAAAGCATATCTCTTTTTTTTGACTAATTAAAACATTGTACTGCAGTAATTTGAGAGAATGTGATTGTAAGAAGATTAATAGTGCAGCAAAAAAAAAGTGAATGAGCACAAGAAAGCATATAAATTGACATACTGTAGCTTCAGTTTCATAAACAAAAACCTTCATCAGTGTCTAGGAATCCGGAAGGTGGAGGTGAAGAGACAAGCAAATGTAAATTGTTTTAACCAATGGGAACAAAAGAGCATGTTTGAAGAAGGAAATAATGCAGAGATAAGAAACAGGTGTGAGGGAATTTGGTGAGAACTGCAGGGTGCAACAGATTAAATTAAAATGAACTTCAAAACATTGGGAAAAGGTTAGATACTCGAAAAATCCTTAACTAAATTATTGGAGTTCTTAAAAATTAAGTTCGAAAGGTGAAGAACAGTGTTGAATGTTTTTTGTAGAAGAAAACTCAAACCTATAATTTGAATTCCAACTGTGATTTGATGAATTCCCTTGCCATCTATAATATCAATAAATATTTTTTTATTTACACTGGGATGTATATTTTTCACTAATTTTTGTCTAGGCTTCTTAATGCACCCGAAAATAAACAGTAAATCAACTAGAGTTAAACACTTTCTGTTGCGAAATTTTGAAATTATTAAATTTTTTTGTAAACTTAAAACGGCTATTGACAAATAAAACTTTTTGAAAATGCATAATTACTGCTTTTGAGATTTATCAGTATATTTTTAAGGAGGATTAAGGTTTCCAATCCGTAAATAAAACAAAATTCATAAAAAAAAGCTTTCAACTTGATGGTTTGTTCATTGATTTGGTGAATGTTGTCTATACGCCCACTTTTATTTCTTCAATAAAAAATAATTTTTTTTATGCTCGGAATTTTTTGTACGTCTTAATGAGTGTAATGTAAACATATTTCAAGGAAAATAACACCACATTTTATAAAATTTATATGATTGGCCTAAAAAGGATTAAGATAAGTGGGTTTATTAACAGGGGAAAAATGATTCCCAGGGTACTCAAAAGGAACTGGTCAGGAACTGATTCAGGAACTATGGTTTAATGTAAACAATCAAAATGTTTAAGCTAAATTCGGAGAGCTTGGTGGATTGCGAAATTGTAGGAGAAATCAAAAATATTAAAAAGACGGTCTGCAGCGTTATTTTAAGGTAAAGCATTTTATTTGACTCTGAGGAAGGTCCTTGTTTAGAGGACACATAAGTATCAATTTATGTACTCTCATTTATTCACATTGCACAAATTATTATCCTCTCCTTCAGTGAATTTAATAGCTTTTTAAAGTCTTTGATATTTATAAATTTAAAAGTCTTACTTGTTCCTTTCTTGATGATTTATTCTCAGTACTCTGGTCTTTTTAATAGTAAAATTTCGAAAAGGAAATTTCAGCAAAGCAAGCGCTGTACTCAAGAAATCGAAAACTGCAACTAATGATATACCCAGCCACATACCCACATAGCCTCCAATGTTACCAAAAAGTTCAATGCTCTAAAATAAAAATAAAAAGACATTAAGCACAACTATTGATAACTATACCTTTATAACTGATTAACACTTAAATTGTTAATGTGCAGATAGTATTAAAAAATATTCTCTTGCTAATCTTGAAAAATAGTAATTTTGAAAATTTGTCAGATAGAAAGCTATAGGGGCAAATTTGGAGACCATTGATTCAGCATAGAAGTATATACTTTCCCGATCAAAATTAATTGAAAAGTTTTGATTATATTTAAAGTTAGAAATTTTCATTTACGCTATTAAATTTCTATCAAAAAAGTGACCCAAAAATGATATTACATTACATTACATTATACTAGGAGGCTACACCCCCTGCTCGCAGGCGCTCACCAACCCCCGGAACTGCTTTCGCAGTTCATTTCGGATTGCTTCACAATCCAATGCTCGCTTTGCTCGCTCATTGGATACGTTCTTAACGTCTAGTTTTTGTATACTTTTTTGAATACTGAAGTTCCGAAAACTTTTCACTGTAGAAAATTCTAAACCTGTACATTTCAATATTAATTTGAAATTGCAAACAGTTCACATATTTTTCTTAATCACACTATTCTAAATTTCAGTTGTTGAGAAAAGT